ATACAAGCACTGAGGTGTTTAACCCTAGACGAGTTAATGGTTTAATGGTTATTTGTATTAATCCAATGTGTAAATATTTATAATTATTTTCTTTATGTTTTTCAATGATTTTTCTGTTTCATTAACCGATCCTAATATCTTAGATATATTAACTATAAATCTGAAAACTCATGGATTTAATATGACACATGGTTCTCAAAATTTAGCAATAGTATATCGAATTTATTACAAAGTAATGAATACTCTCTGTCCTAATATTATGCAAACAGATAAGAAGGATCAAACTATATTATTCCAAACTAATATAGAAAAATCAAATACGATTATACCTAAAACCATTACTTGGTCCGACATTATTCTACCTCAATCATGGGCATTACAAAATGCAAACCAGCCCAGGGAAGTACCTGTGAATAATATTCCCAATCAAATAATAGAACATCAGGATGGAAACATTGAAATAAAATTTCAACAGTCTATAATACAGGATGATATAAATATCAATAGGAAAAGGAATAAAAACCCAGTAATACCCGCTAGAAAATCTTGTCATACCACTCAAGATGTTATAATACTTCCTTCTCCATCAATACCTACAACATCTTTAGACTTCCAATTACAAGGAGTCAAACGAACAGCTGACCACATAGTCATTCCCACGTATACATCTGAACCCGACATAGCTGAATTTCAAATACTTACCTTACAAGTAGAAGATGATATAAATATGGATGAATACCTGGAAGAATACTTAGCTGCTAAATTAGCAAGAAAAAAGAAAAAAGTAGATATTGCATATATAAAACAAGATTATCTCGACCCATAAAATCAAGGTATTAGAGAATGGTATCTTAAAACATTTCAATCTAGGTTAGTAGAATTATTCCATAAAAAATATAATAAATTTTTGAAAAAAGAAAGAGAAACAAAATGATTTTTTATATGGTTACAGGAAATATGTACTCAATATAACATTCACATTCCTCAATTTAATATTATTCAAACAATTGAAGAAAAAACCTATGTAAGTACATATGGAACTACTACCTCTAGTATCCATCCTCCTGTCAAAAGTATTATACTCAAAGGAGTTAATACCCCACCGGTAAAAGGTGAACCACCTCAATCTCTATATGAAATTATAGCAACACCTTATAAGATTGTACCTAAGAATATGATAAAAAAGCATGAATTAATACCACATATTATTGAGCAAAATAATTATACTAACCTATACATGCAATCGTTAGGAAAACAAGCAGAAAGAATAGAAAGATTGGTCACTCCTCAACCTAAGGGAGTAATATCTCCTGTTCTTAAATCTGTTTTATTCAAACCACCTCCAAAACTTAATAAAACAAAATTCCACATAGGAGAAGACAATAAAACACTAATGGACCAATTAATATCAAAATTAGCCCAATTAGATATCAAGGGCATTCCGTCTCCAAAATTAAGTACTCCTATACCAATACCCAGTATTGTTGTACCTCTATCTACTATTCCCGAATCTTCAGATAAAGGAAAATTGAAGATTCCTGAGGATGAGACTTTAATGCTCCAAGACGAGGAACCAATTATAGAAGATACCATACAAACCAAGAATCTGCTTTTATGGATACTTCACCCACTGATCTAAATAGAATCGCATATGGTAAATCATGGAAACCGATCACAGCTTTACCATACTATAAGAGACCTACACCTGTTGATGTACAATTAGAAGAGGATGCTATCCAACAGGCTGTGTCTTATTCAGGAAGATCAATTGTCAATTGGACAATAGATGGTTTATCAGAACTAAAAATATTAGATGTCATGAGACATATGACAATGTTTTCTTCAGCAAACAAAATGGTCGGCAATCCAGACCAAGAGGTTGCCAAAGCAATAGTGAAAGGATTCACTGGCTGGTTAAGAGGCTGGTGGGATTTTTATGTTGATGATGAAACCAAAAACAGAATCCTCACCAATACAAGACAATAGACTGCCAGAAATGAACAAAATCAAGAAATCATTTATACTGAAAGTGATGCAGTCAACACCTTAATATATACTATTACTTTACATTTCGTAGGAAGTACAGCCCTATTAACAGCAAGATCAGAAGATCTGCTGTCCAACCTCCGCTGTCCTACTTTATCCCATTATAAATGGTATAAGGATGTATTTTTCTCAAGATTACTAATACGAGAAGATTGTCAGTTAGACAATTGGAAATAAAAATTTATTGCTGGTGTACCATACCTATTTGCAGAAAAAGTCAAAGAAAGATTAAGAAAGAAACATAATGGAGTTATCATATACTCTGTATATACACTTGGAGAATTATCAGCAGAAATATGTGCTGAAGGATTAGCATTATGAACTGATCTTAAACTCAAAAGACAACTTGGTAAACAACAAATTACCAAGCAAAAAGAACTTGGTGATTTTTGTGAATAATTTGGCTATCATTTAGATAGAAAATATAATAAACCTGAAAAATTATATAAGAAAAAGAAAAAATATAAGGAAAAATATAAAAAGGATAAAGTACATAAACAATATAAATCCAAACATAAGAAATTTATAAAAAAATTTTCTCCTATTAAAAATAAAAAGAAATATCTGCATGTTATAAATGTGGAAAACTTGGCCACTATAAACATCAATGTAAAGTAAAAAAGAAAATAGATGCTTTACAATTAGATGCTTCAATAAAATCACAATTATATCAAATTATCAATTATTATTCCTCATCTTCAAATATAGATTCCACCACATCACTCATAGGAAATATCCAAGATGAAGACCTAATATGGATAGAAGCATCTGATTCTTCAGATTCTTCTACTAATACAGAATCATCCCATTCAATGGAAGAATCCACTTGCATTTGTTTTATACCCTCACATAATCTTCATATGCTTACTCAAGAAGATAATTTAATTCTAGATCTCATAGAAAAAATTACAGATCCCGAAAAAAAAAGATCTGTGATTACCAAATTTATTAATTTAGCTAAAACAAAAGCAAAAACACCTCCTATTAGTAAAACACCTGATGAATATAATTTTGCCTCTATTATGAAAATAGTTAGTGAACAACACCTCACTAAACAAAAGGAACCCTCTATGTCAGAACTTAAACATGAAATCAACGAAGTTGAAAAAGAAGTATATCAATTAAAAAATAGAATTAAAATATTAGAATTACAAAATTTATCTCATCAAAATTCCGATACAGATGAAATCGAATTCAATCATCTGGTCACAACATATAATCCTGATCCGCCAGACGATATACCAGAAACCTCAGAAGCTAAACTACTTCTGATCACAGAACAAACTTCTTCTGTGAATCTGATAGATAAAATTATGATTCAAAAATGGTTTGTTCAAGTCACTATCATAGTCGCAGAAGATTATCAATTTCAGACATCAGCTTTAATAGATTCAGGTGCTGATATTAATTGTATCAATGAAGGATTAGTACCAACAAAATATTTTGATAAGACAACTCAAATCTTAAATACTGCAGATGGCAGTAGACTCTTTATAAATTATAAATTATCTAATGCTTTTGTTTGTAACAATCATCAATGTATCCAAACACCATTCATCGTGGTCAAAGGACTAAGTCAAGCTGTTATTCTTGAAGTCTCATTTCTTACACTATTATATCCCTTATCCATAGATCATATAGGACTATCTTCAAATTATCAAAATGTACCAATACACTTTGATTTTATTCATAAACCAAAATTAAAAGAAATCAATAGTGTCAAAAGTCAATTACAAAATAAAGAAAAATTTCTTTGTACTTTAAAACAAGAAATTAAATATAGATATGTGGAAGAACAAATACATAATCCTTTGATACAACAAAAGATTCAACATATTCAACAACAGATAGAAACCTCTATCTGCAGTGAACATCCCAATGCCTTTTGGGAAAGGAAAAAACATAGTATTAGTTTACCATATGAACCTAGATTTGATGAAAAACAAATCACTACCAAAGCTCGATCAATACAAATGAATACTACTATATTAGATATGTGTAGAAAAGAAATTGCTGAACTCCAAGCAAAAAAGCTAATAAGACCAAGCGCATCACCATGGAGTTGTGCAGCTTTCTATGTCAATAAAAATGCTGAAAAGGAACGAGGAGTTCCACAATTAGTAATTAATTATAAGCTATTAAATAAAGTTTTACAATGGATCAGATATCCCATTCCCAATAAAAAGGATTTACTAGATCGAGTAGCCAATACTTGTATATTTTCCAAATTTGACATGAAGTCAGGATACTGGCAAATACAAATCCAAGAAAAAGATAAATACAAAACAACATTCAATGTTCCATTTGGACAAAACGAATGGAATGTAATGCCATTTGATCTCAAAAATACTCCCTCAGAATTTCAGAAAATAATGAATGATGTATTCAATGCTTATTATCAATTTATGATAGTCTATATTGATGATATCCTGATTTTTTTTAATCCATAGATGAACATATTAAACATATTAATATTTTTATCCATGCAGTCCAGAATGCTGGCTTAGTTGTATCTGCAAGAAAGATTACTTTATTAGATTTTTAGGACATAATATCCATCATGGTACTATTATTCCTATAGACAGATCCATACAATTTGCTAATAAATTTCTTGATCACATATTAGATTAAAAAGAACTTCAAAGATTCTTAGGATGTCTCAATTATGTTAGTGATTTTTATCCCAATCTTGCTATAGATGCTAAGCCTTTACATGATAGATTAAAAAAGAATCCTCCACCTTGGACGGATATTCATACCAATGCGTTAAAAATAATTAAACAGAAAGTCAAAACTCTTGTTTGCCTTTCTCTTCCTCATCCTACTGCTTTCAAAATAATAGAATGTGACGCCTCAGAGTTGGGATTAGGAGGAATCCTCAAACAACGAATAAATGGTCATGAACAACTACTCAGGTATACCTCTAAAGCTTGGAATCCAACCCAACAAAACTATATTACGGTAAAAAAGGAATTACTTGCAATTGTTCATTGCATTACCAAATTTCAAAGTGATATTATCAATCAACAGTTTCTTATTCGAACTGATTGCAAAGCTGCCAAAGACATTCTGCAAAAAGCTGTTCAAAACCTTGTTGCCAAACAAATATTTGCCTGCTGGCAGGCTATACTTTCTGCCTTTGATTTTACTATTGAACACCTTCACGGTTCTTTTAATTCCCTTCCTGATTTTTTAACCCGTGAATTTTTGCAGGAGGGGCAACACTGACGCCAACGGCGACACACCACTATCACTTGCACTACAGCTCTTTGCAGCTAATCAAAATAATACCCTGTCCAATCCACCTACTCTCATGGGCTCTCGTAGCAATTCCTCTCGCAATGAGAAACGTCATTTGACAATAATACCACTTGAAGGTGATAATCCGCCTTTGGCTACCCTTTCACCTTTCATTTCACCCATTCACCAAATCACTTATCCAGAAACTAATACATCTACTCCAGCCTATACTCCAGCTCGCTCAATCAAGGCCAACCCAAAGGCCTAATGTTCCTCGTTCTCCATTTATTGAAAGAGCATATCTCATGGATATTACAATAGATGACCACCATACTAGTACGGATCCTATCAAACTTGCTCCATTATATCTTATAAAACATTTGAATCCAACCAATGGAGTCAAAACTCGTGAGTATTATGAAGCCATTCTTATGGAAACAGGGTCCATCTCTGTTGTCCATTACTACCAGCAAAATACCAAAATAATTGCATTTTCCAAAATACAGATCAAGAAATTACTTTCTTATGAGGAGTGGGGTTGCAATCCCGCTCAAGGCAAAAAATTACATAGTCTTGATTTTTCGTACAAATATTACAAGTATGCCGAGTACATAGAAGCCTGGCATAAAATGTTTTATTATCAAAATCCAAATAACACTCATTGCTGGTATATTCAATTTCGATTACCCATTTTCGAATGGTTCCTCAATTGGTTTAAAAATTGGTTTTTAGTTTGGGGATCAACTGCTGCAATTTTACCTCCGGCTTTCCAAAAAGTGCAGGAACAATTTGTTATATTCAATAATAGTGATAATAGTACAGACAATCACCTGTACTTTGTTGCACTATACCAACTCCCATGGATTATGAAGTGGGAATATTCAATCTCTATCAATAATACAACTGACCATACCTATATCCCACGCCTTGAAAAAACCATCTTAGTAAAATGGTGAGATATATTCAATATGGATCCCACAACCATAGTTCCCAAACGCATACCTCCACAAAAACCTATATATAACCCCAGTCCAAGTGGACATAATACTGCCAATATTTCTTTTGACTTCCCCACATATTTGAGAAATATGCTGCAAACAAACCCTAATGCCTCCAAAGAAACCCTTGAACAACAAATGAAGGAGATCTTTGCAGAAGCAGGAAGAAAGCCGGTCTCATCAGATGAGACCGTACAGTCATCACCAGCTCATACCAATAGATACTTTCCCTTGGAAGAAACGGACCCCGAAGAAGAAGAAGATGATCCAGACGAATGCAGCTAAAGACCATGACCAGTTGCTGCCAAGATTGTGACCGACAAGACTCACTAATATACGACAAGCTACTACTGTTCTAGGATGTCATTCCACCGACATAAACGACAAGCCAATACTATTCCAGGATGCCATTACTGTGCCCACCGACATAAAACGACAAAGTTGCCGACACTGTAGCAACATGTGGTGCCAAAAGAATATATATATATGTAGGAAAAAGCTCCTGTCAGCCCATTGGCTCACGGACCAGTGTAAGTCCAATGGCCCAGATTGAATCTGGACCAATCTAATGATCACAATTGTATTTCGTAATTGAATTTTAATTTTTTTCTACGAATCTAAATTACTTAAAATTTGGAGTGTCTAGTCTTCAAGAATAGTAGAATCTAATAAAAATATTTTAAAAATAATTCGTATAAAATAAATTGACCAAAATACCCTTAAAATTTTTAGGGATATTTTTGTCAATTTAATTTATGTGAATTATTTATTTAGTTAGTTACTTCGTATGTAGTAGAGTTAATTGTGTCCTAACTTACTACTTATATTTAGTTAGTTTATTATAAAATTAAATTAAATTAAATT